ACTGCATTAATGTGATTTACCTAGGAGAGCCAGAAGGCATGAGATAAGGAGGGGAAACAAGACAGGTAACTTTTTAGTTGTGAAGTACTAATTCCTACCCATTAGCTAAAAATTGCAAAATTCATTGAGGCAACTTGGTTGAAGACAAAGTCACACAAAAAGCAAAAGGTACTGATAGATTACATAAAGATAGGAAACATTAAGTTTGTATTATATCCACATTCCCTATAGCTCAGCTCCATTGAAAGTCTATGCTTAATAGGTTAGGTAGAATAAATAGAAATTCACTAATGGATATATGAAAAGATATTCAATGTCACTAATCATTAGAGAAAACCACAATGAGCTATCGCCTCATACCTGTCAAAATGCCTATCATCAATAAATCACCAATAACAAGTGTTGGCAAGGATGTGACAAAGAAGGGAACTCTCATACACTGTTGATGGGATTGCAAATTGGGGCAGCCACTATGAAAAACGATTTGGATGTTCCTCAAAAAATTAAAACTAGAACTACCCTATGACTCAGCAATTCCAGTTCTGGGTACTTACCCAAAGAAATCCAAAACACTAATTCAAAAATATATATGCACCTTATGTTCACTGCAGCACTGTTTACAATAGCCAAGTTATGGAAGCAATCCAATTTCCATAAATAGAAGAGTTGATAAAGAAGAAGAGGTACATGTATATGATGGAATATTACTCAGCCATAATAAAACCCAAATCGTACCATTTGTGACAACATGGATAAACTTAGGGGGTATTATGCTAAGCGAAATAAGTTAGACTGAGGAAGAAAGACAAATACCAAATGATCTCACTTATAGGTGAAATCTAAAGAACAAAATAAATTAACAAACAAAACAGAAACTGACTCATACATACAGAGAATAAACTGATGGTTGCCAGAAGAGAGAGGTGTTGGGGAGTTGGGTGAAGAAGGTGAAGGGATCAAGAAATACAAATTGGTAGTTACAAAATAGTCACAGGGATGTAAAGTACAGCACACAGAATATAGTCAATAATGTTGCAACCACTATGTATAGTGCCAGGGGCATTCTAGACTAATTGGGGGATCACTGCATAAATTACATAAATGTGTAACCACGATGCTGTACATCTGAAACTAATATAAAATACTATTGAATGTCAACTGTAATTAAAAAATAAGTATTTTTTTAAAAATTCACTAATGATAATCTGATATGAGAACAAATAAAACAGCCATACATGTTCATTTACACATTAACAGTGTTAGCAAATATTTTACTATACATCTATCTGTTCTATTGCTTTGACAATATTTAGAGAAAATGTAACACAGCTCTTATATTCCTTATTTTTCCATTTATTCTCATGGTTTTAGCCAAATATTTAGCATAAGAATTATAAAAAGGTCCTACTAGATCTTAATGTATTATAAAAACAGTGTTATTATTCAATGTCACTTTTCTTTTACTTGCTTCTTTTCATTCCTCCTTGCATTTTCTCAGTCCTTCTAAATTGCAGAAATACACACTTATCATTTACCTTTTGTTCTATGAGATACCCTTTATTGATTTTTATCAAAATTGAAGCTCCAAGCCAAGTTAAAGGAAATTGCCAAGGTTGGAAATACATTTTTCTCATAAGAGTTCAGGGACTCTTGAAACTCACGGTCACTTTCTGAGATAATCTAAATACTTTAAAAATTTTAAGCTACAAAAAAAACTAAGAGGACTGACCTACAAGTCAGACAGGATGTCTAATCTTAAACCCATCTACAATTCATTCTAGGCTCTGGGCAGATCTCTCCGGGCCTTACTCAGAGAATTTTTTATCAAGAGATCAGTAGTATCTTTCCATTCATACACCACAGAGACATCTATGTTTCAAAAAATAACCCATATGTTGTAAATGGAATAAATGTTTTAAGTTTGCAGACAGTAGTACTATGTGGATAGCAGTTAGTTCTGTTGATGATAAATTTTAAATGCATAAGGATTATGTCTCAGAAGCTAAGCTATTATAAATCCCCAAAGGGAGCCCCTTTATTGATTTAATCACAGGGACAGTGGAGGAAAGTAACCCACACTTTAGGTGGACAAAACTATACCTTAAAGAACTAGAAGAGGGCTTTAGTCGTGAGAGAGACAATATGACACCAAAACATCCATCCACTCACTCATTCTATAAACACTTAATGAACACCCATATAGGCCAAGCGGTTACTTAAGGACTTGGGAATGACAAATGACCATGACATGGCTCCTGACCCAAAGTGCACAAGATTCCATAAGAGAGAATGAATCCATTTGAGTAAAGAATAAGGATGGGGTAAAACAAGTAGAACCAAGTCTAAAAACAAAACAGTGAAAGTGACTGTATCGAGCATATAAAACATTTCCCAAAGACAGCTGAGTCTTTCTTCTGTGCCAGGGTCCATTTAAGTGGTTTGCACACATTGACTCACTCAGTCCTCATCATCCTTCATGAGACACTGTTACTGTCTCATTTTATAGATGAGGAAGCTGAACCTTAGAGGGGTTAAGGGATTGGAGTAAGGTCACAAAGAAAGAATGGGGGAGCCAGTAATCAAATCAGAGCAGTCTGGCTTAATATTGTGCTAATAATGACAATAATAATGCTGCTTCTCAACGTACCGGTACATAACTGACAAAAGGTTCATATTTAAAATACATAAGGCATTCCTAAAACCCAGCAAGAGGAAGATATCCCAAATTAACAAAGAAACAAACAAACAAACAAAAAACAGGCAAACTGTACAACCAGAAATTTCTTATCAATTTAACTTGAAACAGAAAAAGAGCATTCAAAGGGATGCTTAATCAGGCAATGTTGAATAAAATTGAGAGCACATGTATTTTCCAACTAGGTCATCCTATTTCTATGTATACATCCCTGAGAAAGCGTCACATAGGTACACAAAAGGATATATTTCAAGTTGTTCATCACAGATTTGTTGGGAAAAGCAAAAGGCTAAATTAACCTAGATATCAAAGGAAGCGTGTAAAAAAAGCAGCTACTTGCCTATGAAGGAATATGGAACTCAGAAAGAAATTAACCAGGTACACTTACATATGTATAATAAATCCCAGAAACATAATGGTGAATTAAAAAGATGAGCAAAAGAGAATATAGGGTATAACAAATACATGTAAAACCATACACAAAATAACTATCTATGGTCCATAGATATCCATATGCAAGTAAAGGCATATGCAAATGTGGAGGTGAGTTGAAAGAACATGTTAAATGCACAGAATGTTCAGATACTTATAAAAATCTTGAGTGATAAGCTTTCATTCTTAAACATGATAAAGTAATAGCAACAATAATAATAGCTGGCAATTATTAGTGCTTATTACTTCCCAGGTATTGTTCCCAAAAACTTTACAAGTATTAACTCACAAAAATGAGTTAGGTATTATTGTTCCTCTAATTTTACAAATGAGAAAAACTGAGTCATAGAGGGGTAAGTATGTTTTCCTGATCATAGAAATTTTAGAGGTTGAATATGAGATTTGAATCCAGCAATCTAACTGCATAATCAATGCTCTTAATGATATATATATATATATATATATATATATATATATATTTTAAAGATTTTATTGGGGAATTGGGGGAGGGGAACAGTGTTGGGGAATTGGGGAAGGGGACCAGCCAAGTTGTTGTTCTTCAGTCTTCGTTGTGGAAAGTGCCAGTTGCCATCTGGATTCCCATCGGCAGCTCGTGGCCTCTAAGCTCAAGGTGCTGTGTTCAATCTTACTTGTGGGTGGGGGTAGCCATTGTCTCATGTGGGAGTCGAACCAGCAGACTTGTTGTTAAGAGGGCAAGCTATATCCACTGAGCCATCCAGGCGGCAGCTCAGCTCAAGGTGCCGAGTTCAGTTTTAGTTGCAGGTGGGCATAGCCCACCATTGAACAGGCAAGCTTTTTCATTCTGCCACTTGTTGGCAGCTCAGTGACAGCTCAGCTTGGGTGCAGCATCACTGGCCCAAGTGGGAATCGAACCGGCAGCCCTGTTTCTCAGAGTTCACACTCTTAAGCCAACTCTTAACCAACTGAGCCACTCGGTTGGTCCTTAATGACATACTTTAAATGATTATAATATACTGTATTGTATTCCCAAACCAGTGATATGTTAGGATTCAGAGAAAATGCCCAAAAATGAAAATAAGATATAGCAGAATCTATGAAATGTTTTTGGGTGGGGAGAACATGTCTGAGACTCAAGTATACATTGCACATCTATACACATTTGGAAGATCATCATGACAAAGATTGTGAACAGCTCTTTTGCTTCCATTCACTTCTTTAGGATAAATTGAATTAAACTGTGAAATGAAGGAATTGAGTAAAACATAAAGGGGTGGTAAACATAAATCATACTTTTGAGTTTCTACCATGTGCCAAAGTGTTAAGTGCTTTTATATACATTATCACACTTAATGTTCAACTTTGAAGTAGGTATTGCTAGTCTCATTTTATACACATGAAAACTAAGACCCAGGGAAGCTAAGTATCTTCCCACTGTCACACATTATGGAACTGTGACAGGAACTCAACTAATTCCAAGGCCGATGGTCATTACTTTGCATCATCTCTAAAGTCAGTCAGGTGGCTCTCCCATCTGATGATCTACTTATTTCAGTGTTTCTATCTGTAGTTAGCAATATACCAATTACTCCCACCTGTCCACCTTATAGAATTAATACGAGTACCAGAGGCAGCAGAACTCATGACCACACATACAAGAAATACATTCTATATCTTATAATTGTTACTTTTAGTTTCAAACACAAAGTATCTTGGCCATCAGACATCTTTTGGTGCCTATTTGAGGGTGGATGAGTTTCCAACGACATGGAGTCTTCATTCTTTTGATAAGGTATAAAGCTTGTTTTAAAATAATTGATTTTCCATTTAATCTTGTTTTTACTTTCCCACTTGTCTAAAAATGAGCAGGAATTTAAACACGGTGACACTTTACCTTCCCTTTCTGGTCACCTTCCTTTCTACCAGAAGCTGTCTTCTCAATCTAAGCAAATGTACACTTTCTTTTTCTTTTTTCCAGTGTTACTCTCAAAGCAAGTCTTTTTTTATGATACCTGAAGGGAAGAGGAGAGGAAAATAGATGGTTGTGACTACTTCTCAATATTTATCAAAGCCCACTAGAGTTTTTTCCAGCTGTGCAAATGCAGCATAGCATAATTAATAGAAAAGGTTTTCAAATTAAGCAGACCTGAGCGTGAATCCCAAATCCACTATTTACAATTTGAGTGACTTTGGGCAGATAATTCTCCAAGCTTGGTTGTTTTCAACTTCAAAATGGATGTAATAATACCTACCCTTTGTGGTAATTTTGAGCCATATATATATACATGCCTAACATAGTTGGTTGGGATATTAAAAGTCTTTAATAAATGGTCATCATAATCATGATGTTAGCATCCAGAGTTTTTAGACTAAAAGGTAAATCATACTAGTTACAACTGGACGTTTTATAAGAAAGGGGCAAAGTAGCATGTCCAAGATCACACAGCCGGCTAGAAACTGAGCTGGGGGCGAGGACCTGATCCTGACTCTGTCTTATACTCAGTTCCCTTTGATGCTTCTCATTCTTTCCTGATGTTTGTAGCCTTTCAACAGTCTGTCCTTTTCTGCTTCCTAACTCTTTACTCACACCAATATTTTTATTCCACCAATTACAGATTTTTTCTAGTGGTAACCATGACATCTGAGACCCATTTGGAACCTGAAATATATTCTGATTACCTCAGAGCTCTCTCTCTCTTGCTCTGTTTCCATCATGTATGAACTTGCATGTGGTATTTGGAGGTTAAAGAAAAAAAACATTTTTAGGGGTTATTTTTAGCTCATCATTTCTTCACAACCTTGAATTCTTCATGCATTATGTAATTAATTTATCATAAGAACAGTAACGTTGAAAGAAATTTCTTCTGAGCATAGAAGATGGAAAATTGTTGCAAGAAGTCACAGCAGTAATAAGACTTGCTGAGCATGGGTTTATTAGAAAGCAAAATAAACAGCATGCTGCATGCTGACTTCATCTTCATTAAACATTCATACTGGAAATGCTTACCTTGTCTACAGCCAAGATGTTATCCTTTGCAGAAGGGGAAAAAAAAATCACCAAGCCAACATGTGCAAGTATTCCAGAGCTTTGGGAAAGCAATGTTATGAAAAATCTGCAAATATGTTAGCCTAAGCATTTTTGGCTTTCAAACAATTTCAGCCACCTTGGGGCAGAGCATGAGGGTGAGGGAGGCATCTCAGATGAGAATAAATTGACTTGCATTCTACCATGCAAAGAAATGTAAATAAAAATTGAAGAGGCCTTTATGCCACTGCCATCATGGTATGTGAGTCACTTGGCCTAATATGTTAAGAGGATTAGAGCTAAAACCGCATGAACTTGAAATAGCCCAATGAAGCTTATGTGCTTTCCAGTTTAAATTGGTCCTCAGCAAGACCTCTCTGATCATCAGGAATTTGGCAGCCTAACTATTCTGCCAAATTCTCCAAAGCAAGGTCAAGCAGCCTGGGTTCCAACACTGTAGCCTCTCTTTTTAGTTGAGGTACAGGTGGAGAGAGCTAGAAGGGGAAGGGGCAAGGATCACCAAAGAGGTCACGGTGAAAGCCAAAATCTAAAATATGCCTTCTTCATTCTTTCCCAGAGATCACACAGTTTAATCAAATTAAAGTAAAAATAAAGAAGAAGAAAAAAACCCCACTTAGCTGTTGCATCCTGATTATGGCTTAAAGGATCAAACACAAGCCCTTTCTGTACCCATTTAAACTAGAGAGGGTTTCAGTGGGCATGAATGAATCTTCCTTATAATAATAAAGGAATCAAGCTGTGTGCTCATGTGGGAAACAAGTTTGGAAAAGAAATGGGAACTCACAGTAAAATGTCTCTTCCCTTAAGAAGCCCCTAAAAGGACAACAGCCTTTACACTTCAATTTAGCAGAAATGGAGTTTGTCACCAACTATAGAGGTATGCTGAAGAATATTCCCATCATAAGTTGATCACTACATGTGCTGAATAATGCTGAATGTCCATGAGATAGAAGCACACACATGTGTCTGGGAATTGCCATGTCCCTATGGGTATTTGACAACTCAAAGGCATAGTTGTAAGAATCAGCCAAAAGCACATATTCCCAGCAAACACAGGCCAAAAAAAAAAACCAAACAAACAAAAACACCCAACCAAAAAGAAAAACTCTTTTAAGGCATTCCACTTCTAGGAACAGATTTCGTGGGTTTTTTGCAGGGGATGCCAATGGTTTTGGAATCAGTTTATATGAAATGCATCATTCAGGAAGCAGTTGGGGGACCTGTTCCAGTGACTCCCCTGGGTTTTGAAGCTCCTTTGAAGCTCCTGCTTCTGCTTCAAGGATATCAAGTGACATGAACCTTTCTTTATCTCCAGAAGGGGGAAAATGGGAGGACTGCTTAAACACCTGAGCCAGCGCTATGTCACCATCACAAAAGAGAGGAGCTGAGAATAGCAGTCAGTTCAGCAAAAGGAATTTTAAAGATTCAGTAAAACTCGCCAAGAGAGGAGAAGGCTCCTGGATTCGGAGGTTGTTGTTGCTTTCCACAAAGTGAGAGCGATCCAGATCATTGTAGGATACAAAGCAAGAGAGGGGGGAAAAGGCAAGTGCTATTTGATAGCTTTCAACATTAATCCAGAAATAACAAGGCCCTGTGTTTACATTTCCTTCTGTTTTTTTGCCACAACCAATGGGTTTGCGTAATAACTCTGTCAAGTTCTCTTTCTCCCATCCTGTGTGTCCACTGGTACTGAGTGAATTTATGAGGAAACCAAGAGCTGGTTTGACAAAATAGAAAATCAGTTGTAGAAGCAATGAATTTTCTAGTGGAAAGTATATTGTATTTTTAACAAACCATGACTTCTTAGCTGAAGGAGACATAATGCAGGATCAATTACAGGGGCTGAAATGCTTGTGCTCACCACAGATGTATTTTCATTTATAATTATGTCATGCAAAGAGCATAGCTGGGGCCCCATTCCAGGCAGACTGGAACACCCACCAAGCCACCCAATGTGATTGCTGCTATTGCAGTTGTTAACTCTCCTTTGGGAACTGTCTTGCAAGGATTTTTTTTTTCTTTCCCCAAAACCAACAAAGAGATCAAATGTGTGCAGCATTGTTCAGGGGTTACTGGAAATCTGTGCAAACGTTTCAAAATATAATTCTAAAAAAAAAATAGTTATCTGAAAAATAAATTGTCAATTTACGTAGCTATTAAATGTATGTAGTTAATACAATTCTCTTTCCACATTTTTCTAGATTTTAATTAGGAATTTGGATCTCAGGAAAGTAAGCTGACTGACCAGGTAATTCTGAGTTTTTGGCCTCAGGATGAAACACCAAACCTGTCTCTTGATATCAACCCTCACTACGCTACTTGGCTCAGGACCTGAGTTAAAGTGTTTAAAAGATCCAAGATGGCTGGTCTTCCCTTTTACCCAAACTTGTAGCTTTGGCCTAGATCCAACACTCTTTCCCACGGTCAGCAAGAAAGGGAGGATTCCACAACACCATTGACTTTGAGAGACTGAATATGTAAACAAACAATGGTCAGACCATATATAAAAATAAAACTGTGACCCATGACCAACAGCAATCTACCCAGGAAACTAACCCTTTATCTCTAATCATCAGCCCAGGAAGGTAGTCTACTATAAATCAGACTTGGAGGAAGTTCGAATGCTATCTCTACTAACAATGTAGGAAGCTAAACAATAACTTTTGTAACAATCAGCCCCAAATGATCAGGGCTTGGGTAATACCTGACAGCTCCCCTAATTTTTGACCCTGCTTCCAACTTGGGACCAGCCAGAGAAAGCCAACTATGCACCCCAACCAATCACACAGGATACCCTGCTTCTAGTTAGCCCATCCACACAAAGGTTCTCCCTGTGAGTCCCTGATTTTAGAGAACAATAGCCATAGGGTTATGCTCTATACACTTAGAAAAGGAGGTAAAATCATACGTTTAGGATTCAAATAGTGAATCAACATTGAGTCAGGAAAAGAGAAACCAGTTCATGTATTTAATACAGAGGGACGTTCAGAAACAACATAGCTTATGCAGGCATTGGAATTGCTCGTGTTGGAGGGAGGCACACTAGACGAGTGAGAGAGGAAATGGGTGTCAATCTAAGATCAGTACCTACAACCACTCCTGGACTGGATCCTAGGAGCTCACATACTGCTACTTTGATGGACCTATATGACTCCTAAGCAGAAAAATGGGAACTGTACTCTTATTATGCTGCTAAAATTGCCAGCAACAGTGCTAGAGCCCACACCCACTGGCAGCCACCTCAGGGGCCAGCCATTGCTGTCATTGTCCGATGCTGCTCCCTGAAGCATTCAAATATGCCTTTACCTCCTTTCACTTTGTGATATCCTGCCAGTGCCTTTTATTGGGAGGACACACCAGGAAGACAGCTGACAACAAGGTTTGGGAATGTGACTGCATTCTTCCAACCCCCAGTGGGATGAGAAGGACAAGTGTGGAGCTGAGAGAACATCAGACACTATGGAGCACAGATAATAAATATGTTTTGGACTACCTTACATCATAAATTCAAACCAGATGAATGTTCTGATTTATTAAGCTTGCTCTTTAAGTAAGGTAAAGAAGTTACATCTATAATATTAAATTGCTATAACCCTCAATGTTCTTAGAAGGAAGTGAGTGACAGAGCACTAGTCCCTATCCTGCTCACTTCTGATATGGAGATAGGCCTAGTGTAGGGTGGAGCTGGATTGGAGGGCAGCGAGAGGCAGTGCTGGAGAAGGAGCAGCTTTGCAAAAATCCTGAGCCTCAATTATAGGTGGGAGTTACTGGTAGGAGCTATAGATCTGAAAAGACAGATTCTCTACAGCTCTCTACATTAATTACTCACAGCACATCCATTGGAAGATGCATTCCTCTGAGAGAATCAGGGCCAGAATTTGTAGAATTATATTCTGGGACCATCAATGGAAGGTGGTGGGGATAAATAATAAATAGATCTCTTTTCCTTTTTGGATTGCTTTTATTTATTTCATTTAACAATTATTTATTGAGGACTGGCCATTTGTAGATATTATCTCAGGCATGGGGAATACAGTAGAGAAAAAAAAAAGCAGACAAATATTGCTCCCCATATAGGGGATACAGGGGGAGGAGGGAGACAATCACATCATTAAAAGGTGGTAAGTATTATAGGAAAAAGAGCAGGAATGGGGAGAGGCAGTGCAGAGGCAGACTTTGCCATTTTAAGTAAGTAGACGGGAAGGGCTTTATTGCACAGGTAATATATGAGCAAAGAATTCCAGAAAGTGAGTGAGGAAGGTATGTGAGCACCAAGGGAGGATCTACCTGGGAGAGGATATTGCAAGTTCAAAGGTCCTGAGGTAAAACATGCTTTAGTGTGTTTAGCAAATAGTTCTTCATGACTGGAGGAGAGAAGCAGCGATGAAGTCAGGAAGAAGAATGGTTGTATCACAAAGAGACCTTACGAGACCTGAAAGCCATTGTAAAGAATGGTTCTTTCTCAAATGAGATAAGAACACTTTGGAGGATTTAGAGTGAGAGGGTGACATGACCTGATTTAGGGTTTTATGGGATGCTGTGGAGGATGTGTAAATGGGTGGAGAGGGATATGTGGGGATGCGGTGGGTGAGGGTAGGGTCAGGGACCAGTTCAGGGACCATTGCAATAATCCAGGTGAGAGATGGCTGCACAGTGGTGGTCGTGGAAGTGATGATAAGTAATTTGTTCATACAAATAGAAATAGGAAATTAATCAAGCTAGCCAGAATTACATCTGCCACACTCCACTGGAAAATTCATTCTAAATATATTTTCTTGATGATGTTAGGTTAGCTGTATCATCTTTAGGACTGCATATTATACCAAAATTCACTTTATATTTGCAGCCATGGTGCCCCAACTGCTTCATTTTGGCTGAAAATGTGTTGCTCTTGAATCATAATTAATAACAAAATACATTTTACATAGAGCACTGATCCTTTTCTTATAGTGAGCTTTTTCAAATGAGGACCCTTTTAACAAAAAGTGATTTTGTGAAGACTTACATTCAGCTTATTTTTAGCACTCACAGATGAAAATAATACATAATGACAAAAAGCTATAATAAAAATCAATAATGCTTGAAAATGGCATATTTTATCAGTACAATATCTCCACTCAACTGAAAAGTAATTGCAGGTGTACGCATGAAACCAAATACGTACTTATAATTCACTGACCATATGTAGGCTGCGT